GTCAGGTTGCACGACTGGCGTGCTTTGTTGAACTCACCTAAAATCGCTAAGCGGTTACAGCGCCAAATAAGAAGATGGAGAAGTAGCTTTTGATTACGTTTAACGCGGAGTCACGGATTTTAAGAGATGACATGTTGCAAATGTCAGCGCGGAATAAATTTAGCAAATATTGGCGGGTTTATGTTCGATTATGTCAAATCCATTTATTAGAGAGAAAAAAAAATAGTTATCTCTGACAGCGTTACCAGAAGTAGTTTATACTAAACAAGTACATAAGAGAAGCTGGATAGGCGCGAACAATACCCTCTGATTAAATCTTGGTGCGCTATAAGTCTCTATCTAAATATGGGGTAGGGTCATTATGGGGGTGTATTCAAACTAAGAAATAAAATGTGAATTGAATTGTCAACTTGAGAGAGCTACGGTAAATAATGGTAACCCTTTAGCTCCTCCCATGTTGAATACTTTGTGCCCTTATTTGAAAAAAAAGCTTACTAAAAATAGTAGTTAGAAGGTTATCCTTTTCCCCCAAAATGTCAATATGAAAATTTAATTTACAGCGTGGCGACGAATAACTGTTACCCAGGTTTTTTTGAGAAATAAAAGTGTCCTTTATAGGTTTTCCGAAAAAGGTATTTTATTGTTAATTTTCCACAGATTTTACTTTAGTTGTATTAATTACTTTTTAAATTTTAATCCTTATTTACATTTGCCAGCAGTGTAAACTTTGAGAGAAAAGTTAATTTGGCATGCAGGTCTTCGTCAGTTAATTTATTCCATATCTTCTGTAACCATAGGCTAATTTTCCCCATTTTGAGTCCCTTATACTCCCTCTTTTGTCCAACATAAGGCCTCATACTCAAAAATCGAATAGACTCGGAACTGGTGACTAGGAAGGCCATTCATTCGACCAACCTTATACAGTTTTTATCTTTTTGTACTTTTTTTATACAAAGCCTAAGAAAAAATACACCTGAAAAAGACTTCCGTGCCAAATGAACTTTTCTCTCAAAGTTTACACTGCTAGAAAATGTAGATAAGGATTAAAATGTAAAAACTAACTAATACAACTAATATATTTATACCCGAGTGCACTTGTGCACAGGGTATTATAACTTTGTTCGCATAACTGTTGTTTGTAACAGCCTAAAGGAATAGAGATAGATTCAGTGTCGGCCGCTGCGGTGTAGTGGTAAGCAGTGCGCGCTTTCACTCATCAGCACCTGGGTTCAAATTGTTGAAAATTCGTATGTGAAGTAGAATTTGGGTGCAAAATAATATTATTATGATGAAATACTGTATCTTAGTAGCCGCTTCACCAATCCTTACCACACTCGGTACGAGCCTTGCTTAGGTTCCAGCTAAGAAATTTGTTGAAAATCTTTGAAATCGGGCAATAGCCACGCCTACCTCCCATATAACGATAATTTACAGAAACACGGAAACTATGATAAATCAGTAACTACTGAAGCTAATTGACTCACAATCGATTATTGCAATGACCACTGAGCAGAAAACTGTATTATAAATTTTTGGATTTTGGACGTGGTTCCGCCCGCTTCTGACCAAAAATGTGTATCTTGGTAACCGATTTATCAATTTCTACCAAACTCAGTGCATTTAATAACCTTGGTACGAAAAATTAACAGCATTTGGTGAAGTTAATGTAAAATTTCTCAAGATCATATTTCCCATGATCTTTCAGCAAGTAACCTATTTAGTCAACTCCATAATGAGCATCTGTATTTATCCAAAGAGCTGCAATGTTGCAAACGGAATCCCTACTCACAAAAAGAATAACGAGTATAGACCCACAGGTATTCTGCCATTTCCGTTTAAAGTTGTTGAGCGCATATTACATAAGCAAATGATTTCATATGTGCAAAATCATAGACTCTTAATCGAACGTCAGTCTGGCTTTAGCCCCCAATGAAGCTCGGAACACTTTGACGACAGCAAGCGACAAGCAGCATCTGTCAAGTTTTAAATACACACGTTCTTACGGACACAATTATTTTGACGACAGCACGACATCTTGGCTGCAGGACTGCAATTGTCGACGTCGCCAAATTAAATCTATTTCTAATTTTGCCGGCGACAATGAGTAGATGTAGTGCTGCAAAATTAAATTGTCGCAAAATTAATCACATATTCTTGATTGTTCATGTTTTTCTTATTTACTTAAATAAAAATACACAATTTGTGAAATAAATATACCAAAATGTCAAACTTTAAAATCAGTTGTTTGCTATGTCGCTGAGGTCTTCAAAATGTTTAAGAAGCTGGCTTCAAGGCGACATTTGTCGACAAAATGATGTCGCTGTCGTTACGTCGTGAAGTTGCAGTCGTCAAAGTGTTCCGAGCTTTAGTCTCCTAGACTTGGTACAAAACATTCGGGCGCAAACCGACGAAAACAGTGTTGCCTTCTTAACTCTTCAGTTGGCCATAAGTTGTTTTGCAGCAATTTAGAGAACTTATTTAACTTTATCAGTCATGCAACTGTAAGATTCACAGTAAGTGTGATGTCACAGGCTAGAATGAGTGAAAGTATGATCCAATATTTCCAACCACTGCACACAAGGCAAAAGTGACGATTTAGCTGGACAAAAATAATTAACTACTAAAATTGATTTGGGGTTTGGGAAATTAATATTAATTATATGATGGTTTAAGGGTATTTAAGCAAAAATAACAGCATGAATACAAATATAAATTTTGGTTAAGCTCAATAAATAATTCTGAAATCTCCATAATATTTTACTTAATCAAATCCCCGATATGTGATAGTTGCCTTTCTTTGAATAACTTTCTGGGAACTCGAGTAATCGAGCCTTTAATGATTATGCTTGACAAGCAGCAGTGGCATGTAAAAAAATAGGGAAAAGGGAAAAATGGAAATACATATGTCTCTCGAAGCGAAGTCGACCATTCTTCTGCCTTTTCGCTTGAGACTTCGACAGAGTAAAGTTGCGAAATATTTTATCGGAAAATAGTGCACTCATCCAAGTATTTTTTTTTGAACAAAAGACTTGTGAAATAATACAAAATATATAATCGTGCCTGGAATTTATTTTTTCTACAAAGTGGTAAAAATTAGATTTTTGGGAAAATACCGCATGGTAACCACGTTCCTGTAGCCATATGGTTATAAGTAAAACTACGTGGATTATATATTTACCCGGATCTACAACTCAAAACCTTGAATCCTATTCGACTCTATCTTTGGTAAGTTTGGTTTGAAATGTAGTTTCAATTAATCAATTCAAATAATGCAAAAACCCAAAGACTGTGCTTGCTGACTTTGCAAAAGTTTTAAAAGTGGACTCCAAACGTTTGGAGGAGCACGTGTATACCATACCGTCGAAGCCTTGGCTTAGAATCACAAGCCAAGACTTTAAAGTTAAAGCCTAAACCCTCAGAAACACTTCTAGATCTATCATTAGAAAGAAAAAAAAAAACAATTATAAAGAAGGATAGTTACAATTTTATTTCACTAATCACCCAAAGTTTTAGTAGATAATCTTTAAACAAATTCATGTTAAAGTGAGTTCCTAACTCTTGCGTCTTAACGTTAAATACATATTTTTGCTGAATTGAATATTATTATTTAAATATGTTTTACTAAAGTTATTTCATTCATAATTTACTTAAATCGGCTTCTGTATATCATTAGAATTTGTAAGCTGTACATTTTTCTATTTCTGTATCGATGGCTTAGTGGAAGATCGACCTATCTCGGCAGCTGATTCGAAAACGCCCTATCTCAGAAAACTTTTCAAGAACGCCCTACTTCAGAATTTTATTTAAAAACACCCTATTTCAGAATTTTATTGAAAAACATTCTATCTCAGAATTTTGTTGAAGAACGCCCTATCTTAGAATTCGGTTCAGCAACGTTCTATCCCAAACGAAAATACGTGGACCATATTGTGTCTAAAGCATTTTCATTGGTTGGGTTTATTCGTAGGAACTCTGAAGATTTCTCTGATCCAATGATATTAAAATCGCTGTGTGTTTCGTTGGTGCGTAGTCTCCTATATTATTTTTGTATAATTTGGAACCATTACTACCAAACTCATTCAAATAAAATAGAAAGATTGCAAAGAACTTTCACTAAGTTTTTATTATCGAAACTTCTTTGGCCAAATGGCTGTCCCGATTATTTGGGTGGGCGTAACCGGTTAGGTTTACAGATCATATATGATAGAAGAAGTTGCTACTCAATAATGTTTATATACAATGTCCTTAATGGTTTAGTGGACTATAGTGATATTTACGACTTGCTACACCTCCAATAGCTTAAACGTGAATTGAGGCAGGTGAGAATTTTTACGATCGCATTATGCATATAATGAGCCTATGTATATCAAGATGCATCCGACTATGCAACACATATTCCGAAGTTATAAATTTTAATTTTAATGTATTTAACTTCAAGTTGAATGTATTTAAAAATTTTAACTCATCTAGTAGTCTGTAAGAACCTCTGTAGACGAATAAATAATAACAAAAAAAAATACCGACCCCTTCGAGAAATGGTTTTATTTACATTGATATGAAACATGATGTCCACATTTTGATATTTACATGAAACTAGCAATTACCCGGCGTGCTTCGCTGCGCCTTAAATGTATTTTTGTGTTGTAACTCTCCCCCTAAGCTCTTATGGCCTCATTTACAAAATATTTTTAAAGAACTTTATGAAGTTAGATTTAAAAAAAATCGATCTATGAAGCATTGTTTTTTTTTTTTTTTTTGAGTTAATATATTTTCGAAGGTAATTAGAAAAAATGTAAAGAACCGGCTTTCTCTTGTTCTCTTCTTCGGCTTGTTTTCAAATGTTGTGAGAGGGAGTAAGAAAACAAAATTACTTTTAAGGCGCAGCGAAGCACGCCGGGTATTCGCTAGTTAGTTAATATTGCTGTACATATTTGTATAGTAGGGAGATTTT